CGCTAATACTAGAAAGCGGAGGTGGAAATGTAGGTAGAATGTTGCGTCAGGCTGACGGCGAGGACACCCACGACAGCTCAGGAGGGCGACGGGCCCAATGAGGCCGATGTCAACAAAACCTTTTTGTCAGCGGTCGCCGGAGATGCGTATTTCTTGCTTGTTTTCATTGTTTGCGCTTGTCCTCTGGCGACCCCTTCGTCCACCTGCAGATGTGTACATATAATACCTGTTGCTGGCATGTTTCTAGGCATGTAGATAAGCGGTATGACTTAGGCGAGCTCAGGGTTTATCAAGGCGAGACAATACCGTTGGGGGCCATTAGCTTTTCATACGAAAAGGTGAAGAGGAGCTGTTCCTATTGGGTCAAGATTGAATGGGCGACTCATCGCATCGCCACCAAGTTTCGGGCCGTTGAGTGATAACAACCAACTATATAGTAGAATGGTGCCCTCTGTAAGGTACCTAGGCATGGTGCAGATCTGATCCTGTGAGACTCATCAAGACAAGATGTACATTGCCTGGAACCTTGAGGCCAGTCCTGAGCAATACCACGATGGCAGGATGGTACCCATGCCGTAAATGGGCAGGAAAGCGACACAGTCAAAGCGGGAAAAGGTCCGTTACTACCCTTGCTAGGCTTTTGGCGTAACCTGCATCGGTTACGTCCAACAGCCGGCATGTAAGCGCAAGGCACGCTTGATGGCCGCACGCGGCACTCTGACGATAAATCATGAGAGACGAGTGACTTACAAAAATAAAGATTGAGCGGACCGTATATGTTCCTATGCAAGTGCCCAGGACTGCTAGGACAATGGCTCGGCACGCCATACGCAAGGAGGCAACCGACAGAATAATTATTGCTAAAATAGACCCGACGGGTTGGTTTGGTTTCGGAGTGTTAGGACAAGGTCGTGCAAGGGGTTTGCGAAGATAGGACAACTATGGATCGCCGAAGTTAATAGATATCCATAGTTACACACGCCGTGGAAATCCGGAAGCACCCTTTTAGCAATGTTGGTCGCCTATCATATTTTCACCTACCTAGTCGCTAACTCGGTGTATATGCCTGTTTTTAGGTAACAAGGTTGTTACCGAAGGTCAGTGCTCATTAGTGTTGCAGGCTACGCACGAGCTTGACCACGCAGCCACGTTGTCCAAGGTAGTTTGTAGATAATGTAATTGGTAATAAATGGGGTAGTACAAGGGTGACGATGTTGGTGCGGTGTGATAGATCATATGTTGGTTGGGTTAGTACACACTACAACAAGTAAGCCGTCAGCCATAGTCATAACCATAACCATTCACGGTAGGCTGGAGTTGATAACACCAAAGTGTAAGGCAAAGGACAATGGCCTGTACGTTGTTGGCTCTCGAGCCATCGAGTTGGGACGTGGGAGGCAACCGTCAAGTATCGGGCCGTAGAGTCTTGGGATACTTGAAGTTGAAGATGAAAAAGTCTTGGTTAGAGGGAGCTTACGTGCATAAGGGAAGGCCCGCGGCTTATGCCAATTGGTACATGTACTTCCATTTAGCGTAGGTACCGACCTACATGTACGTACCTGTGACTAATGCATCTGTCATACATGTGGAAAATCACATGATTCCGCGCCAAAGGTTCCAAGGCAGCATTGAAGGTTCCTTTACAGGCGCTAGGTACATACCTAAGGTACCTGGTCAGTCCCTTCAGGGCCATTTTAGGGGCCGACCTAAACAATAAACATTGCCAGCCCTTGAGCCTCATATCATTCCCACAACATCGCGCATTCAAAAAGCCAGGGGATGCCAGAGTTCCCATCCTGTCCCGTTTCTCATTCACCTGTACTAGGTGCAAAGAGTTGCAGGTAAGTTGTTCCAAACATCACACCCTAGTAGCTGGTAGTTATCTGCTGTCCAATGATAGGTCTCCAGTCTCGAATAGCCGCCCAGCGATAATCATCTAAGCGCCCAGGTATCTGGCATCGTGCGGTGTGTGGCTCGCCACTCGAGTACGGTTTGTCTTCTAGAAGATTTCCGATTTCTCTCCCTCATGCGCATGCGCGTAATTGAGCGCCGCGACGTCACTATCTGCCAGCTTGCATGCTTCAATCTGCGAGTCGGGCGTTTAAAGCTATTTTTGTACTAGGACCTAGATCACTTGCAGCAAATCTCTGTCCGCCCTACAGGCGACTCCCACCATCATGATCCTTCCTGCAAGGTACCGAGGCGCCGTTACCACGCTGCCGCCCTCTGGTTGGATCGTTTTAGTCTGGGGAAAGCCCAGATAGACGGGCGTTTCGCCCCTATGCATGCAAGCCCGTGTCCTCCGCCGCAGGTACACGCTGCTAATAGGGGTAGCGCCTGATTGGTATCATCTCCTGCGCTCGCCAGCTTCCAGAAGCGCCCGGGAGTCTGCAAGACGACCTTGATTCGCCAATTACCTTTCGTCAAGGCCATCGGTGGCAACGAGAGTAGAGGGTGTACGGTGCTAACGCCAGGTACCATGATACTGGCGTGCTGTACACAAGACCACCTACTCCTAGAGGTACATGCAAGTCGTGTGCCTCGTTATCACTCGCCCCTATCAGTGTGCCGGAAGGTACGGGGCGGCGTTAAGCAAGTCTCCAACGGTCTTCTGATCGTCCCTGACTCCCTTGCGGCCCAGCCCTATGATCCTTCATGACCTCGGGGGATTTCGGTACTACGAGGATCTGCTAAGGTATTTATTTTTAGGAGGTTGCTAAATTAAGACGTAGCCTCAATCTGCAGCCGCTCGCGAGCTGCAAGTGTTAAATTAGACGTCACCTCCTAAAATGTAATCCTAGGCTTCCTCCTGATAAAGCAAAGATTCCCTTGACGTGTAGCTCCCTTAAGCGCGCTCGACCAGAGCTTATGTGATTATAGTCGAATACCTCTAGACTACCTCCGTTGTTTCACTCTTCTATTCGTTCCCCAGCCAATAGACGTAGCTCACCTAGCTTGGTATCTGTCTATTGGTGGCCCTTCTCGGCTCTACTTCTCTCTCTTGTTTCGAAAAATACCACGATGTTTGCCCTTTTTCTTTTGTCTTCGCCACTTGGCAGTGGCTGAAAATAGTACTCGGGGCGCTTCTCTGCCATCATGCCGGAGGAATAAGGTCATCTTGATACTGAACATCTTCCGAGTGGAACGAGTTAGTCCCTGCAAAGCAACTGGATGTGCCAGGAAGCACATTCCATACTGAAGATGACTCGTCCGCGACACCGAAGTGGCATTAGAGGTGATGATGATCTTTCAGGGGCACCTTGATACGAGCTAGGTGGAATGGGGCTCCTATACCGACCAAAGCTACTTTAAAACAGGTAATCAAAGTACCTCATAATCGGGACAACCCTATCCAAAGAAGCAATGATGTCGTTCTACCTATCTAATCCCCGTCGATACCATTTGACAAGTTACTATAAGCGGGATGGGTCGTCAGGAGTCTGGTGCTTTAGCCCCAGCCCTCTGGAAAGGGGGTTAGGGATATTAGCTTAGATAGGAGTCGAGACAAAGGAGCAATTATGTTGAGAGCTTTAAGCCCAGCGTCGCTGCTATCGCGTCACTTAGTTCGCGTCGCGATGACAGCAACATCGCAGGACGGTTTGATGTCCCAAGCGCAGTTGGCAGTGAGTGGACTAGTGGATAGACCCCTTTTAGCCCCTAGTATGTTATCAATGATGCAAATTTTTACATATATCAATATCCCCTACTACGTTAGCAATCTTATCATCTGGGCTCTAGTTGCTAGACATGATTTGCCCCATGATGACAATATCAGCAGGAGACCTATGCACAGTTTTCTAATAGTAATTCTGAATCATCAATAACAGAGAGGTAGGCATGGTCTAAAAGCCTAAAATGTGAGGGAGGGCTGGACTCGATATTTGATATCATAGGAGACCCTGGTATCGTGAGTGAGCAATAAAGAGACGTCTACAACCAGTCACGCTTAAGGAACAGCAAGTTCCGGGAAAAGGATATGTGGCAACTAACCTAGAATAGCTTCTTAAGTAAAACTCAAGCTACGACTTTCCCTGGGCTGCTCTAGAATCAGTTGAACTTCGGCAAAGCAATAATGAGTCGTGGCCATTGCATGCTGACCGCATATCATGGAGGTCAAGTGACATTGAACAGCGACCTCACTGCTGATTGAATTCTATTTTATAAACACGATGTCTCGAGTCAGCACATTTTACATATTATCTCCATCCAGTCTAGAGCTAAGGATGAACAGACTTAAGCAATTGATAATAGTAAAAAAAAAATATTGTGATAGTTAATGTTGCTCGCGTCGGTCACGTCCTCCTAGGCGTATGCTCATAGCGTACCTAACATACAATAGTTAGGAGTTAGATTTACTAGGTATTTAAATTGCAAACCAACCTATTAGCGTGTCCGTTCAACTGAGAAGTCTCATGTTATCAAGTTAACCGGTGTCCTTGGTAGGTACAGTATAAGTCAGGTACGTGTTAATAATGGACAAAAGCTGCTCATCTCTTAATACACTACTTTACATTGTTTAATTTTAAGATCTTGATAACAGTCAGCTTTATACACAATACTGCCCATCGCGTATAATGTAAAATTACTCCAGACTACCCGTGGATCCTCTTAGCCTCAACGAAGCCCACAAAAGACAGCCCCAAACCAGCCTTATCCACATAGTCTCTTTGGGAGAAAAAGAATTCACGGACAAAACAAAAACGTACAACACCAGGGATTCGCTGGTCGTCACCGACCCAACTACTGATCTAGCGGTATCTGGTTTGTCATGGGGAGAGCGGACGGGATCCCGAATTCTCCAGATCCTATGGTCGTACGTGATAGCTCTGGTCGGTGTCAGGTAATATATGACAACCACCCACTTGAAAGAGAAAAAAACCAAACGTTTGAGGTCCTAAAGTACCCACCAAGTTGCTCCAGCTATGACCCACTTGGCATTGCTACATGAATATGGTTTAGTTGGGGCACACAGTATCACCGAACCTCATGTTTTCCTAGTAGGGTTCATGGCCTAATGGTAAGGCGTCAGATTTCGGTTCACCAACCGGTCCTCTGAAGATTGCAGGTTCGATCCCTGCTGAGCTCGATTTCCAACTTTTGGAATTTCATTTTTTTTTAAATTTTTAGTATTTGTATTTCTAAAACATAATGACAATTAAAGAAGAGGTCTCGGAGACATAAACAATCTTACAGCAACACTACCCAATCTACCTAGATGTGGTAAACTTACAAGGCGGTTTATAGAAGCATCTACGACAGACGGTATGTTATAACAACGTTATTACGCGAGCTATGAATCTAACAGCAAGGGCCCCTAACACACGTAAACACCAAGGCTTAGCCAAGGGGTCAGGGGCAAAAGTGTATTAGATCCCTGACATCATTATAGACCTTCCATGTATGATTGAACGGCTGTATATATAGTCTCTGCTCAGGAGCATATACAGACCTCGTGCAGTTTTTAAAATCCAAGTAATTGAAAAATAGTGGCCTTCGCTCCCATTGAATCCTCATATTTGTAAGTGCAAGCTCCAGTACCCAAGGATTAGCAGCCAGCCATGAATATGCATGTTGATCTACGTAAAAGGCGCTTCCTAATACTATCAATGCAAGACTAGTAGAATATCCAAAGGTAGTGGTGGGACTCCTTTTCAGTTGAAACAAAGACGGTACAAAGTCAACATGGCAGCGAGACGTATACTCGACTCTCAGCTAATAGGAAGAGAGGTTGAAGTTCGAAACGGAAAAAACTCGAGAGGCGGGACAATACTCGAGATAAAGCAACGCTCGTCTAAGTCGTCAGTGTTATTTGGACCCCATGGAGAGGCAACGTCGGTTGATGTAAAAACTCGTCAATTGACCCGAACTGTAGGATCGATTGTTAAGATACGTCATCAATTCAGATATAATATCCGAAGTTAGCCGCCGCCGCCGCAGCCTAGTCTGAAAGTACGGACACGCAGCAAGTGACTGGTCATTCCTTCTGAAGGGTGCTTCGTTTCGGCTTTGCAGGCTAGGTAGGTAGCCAGCAAAGCCAACAAGAGAAAAAGGGGGGTGAGCCTTAATAATCCTATGAGGTGTGGTACCATTCGACAACTGCTGTGCCACCAACGGTTGCGAAAGATCGTCCCTTGCATTTCCTACCACATTCGAAAGCAAGAAAGAGAGCGAAGCTGTGAGCGCATACTTTCGATGACTCTTCCCTTTCTCGACATGATCTAAGCATAGGATTGGTTAGGTACCTAGGTATTTCTATTTCTCGAGTACATTTAACATCTCAATCCGTATATGGTCAGGAGATATGATAACTCCCTTACAGCCAGAGTGACGGTGAAAGCATATATTTTGGTGTCTACAGCCCTTATACTTGTGTTCTATATACTTGGATAACATATTTGGCCTGATATGCCTAGGAGTTGTGTCGGCTTTGCCATCACTTGATAGGGCACATTGGACGGGACACCCCAGGCATACTATAAAGCACAAGTACCTACGAAGCAGTGTATAGACTCTAAAGAGTGTTGATTTTCAAATAATGATTCGTAGATCTTTTCCCCAGAAATTACGGACACAAGGAGGAGCATAGTCAAGTTTTTTAATATTAAAGGTCATACTAACGTAATATAAAATAATGCTATAATCTATATCCAAATTCCATATGTCTCCACTATCGCCCGTTAGGTAGTTCGCCTACCAACAAGTTGCTTGTAGACAGGTACCTGTAAGGACTGTAAGACTAGCCGAAAGTTTACCGTCAGTGTGCCGGCGAGGATCAATGTCTTCAATTCGAACAACAACGAATGAGTGGCCAGTTTGACTCGTGATAGAGGAAATAGATATTATATCCATTTCTCTGCATACCTCAAATCACAAGATAATTATATGTGAAACGACCATCCTTGGCTGTACCTATTTAGAATCACTGCTAGTCGATTAAACATTTTCTATTTCTGTCTTACGATTCATCGGCTCTCTTTTCGAAAAGATAGAACATATTAAAAAAAAAAAAAACAATCTGTGAAATCCATCAGCCGCGAATCGAAGGCGGGGCCCATCGATGGCAACGATGGATTTTACCACTAAATCACTGATGCTTCTTATGTCTGCAGCGTCTTGTTAGGTAAGTTACGTATCTCTTATTTGTACTTAAATTCATATTGGCCTTGTAGATTGGCTTTGTGGGTATGGTGAACATAGGTAGTTGTCCAAAACAATTCTCAACATGAACACGCCTAACTTCACCTCCCCTTTCTTGTCTGTAATGCCCCTGCAATTCCTGATGTATAGCACCTCTAATGGCTACTTGGTAGCATGTTTCTTCCAATAGCTAGCAGTTACCCCTTAAGAGTAAATCATAGTACGACTCGCTTCGACGAATGGGTTGTTAGCATTCCAGACAACGCAGCTATTTGAGGAGGAAGTTTAGATTGCTTTACTCTGAATGTGGTATTTGGGCCGCACTGATCTACCTATCTGGTTTTCTCGATCACGAATAGGGGGTTTGTAAGCGATGTGGTAGCGTAGTGTCGTATTATATCGAAACACACTCTAGGGGCAAGTTAACGAGGCATAGAGACGGTGGCCAAGCGGTGTAATCAACGGGACGGCAGGGGCAGGATGAGATCGAATAGAACAATTTGGTAAGAATATAGCTAAACATAGCTCAGGAGATACTGGACTAAATCCACTCCGATAATCACAATCATAAGGAAGCCAGAAACCGAACAGTCCGACCCGGCCGGTACTTTCGGTATCGGTATCAAAGGGGACGAGATTATTGGTCTACTTGTTGCTCTGTACTCATTTTCAAAAGGCGGCTTATCCTTCGGATTAGAAGATACCTACTTTCATGTCTGATGCATTTCGATCCCCCGTCCCAAACAGCTTCACGGCCCATCTCGCCACGATGTGATATGGCTTCCGAGGTGATTCCTGCCCAAACCTGAGAGAATTTGATATCGATCATACTCCTCTTTTCAACGTCAACACGTATGACAACATCCAAGCAGACGTTCGCCACTCGCCGCTTAACCACAGCGAATAGGATTCTATGCCGGTGCTCTATTCGCAACGGTAAGATCATATAGGTACCTGATATCTAGGGTAGGTAGGTAGATTGTGGAAGCACAGTACGTGAGCCTACCAAGGACTTACCTTGAGGGTATGGACAATCTTTTAAGCGACGACGCGACGAAGACTTGTAGCTACCACACCGATGTCATTGAGTCTACACTTTGAGTATGCATTTCGTCTTAGGGCAATCCCAAGCTCGGGGTTAACTAGGTATGTCAGAACATCTAGACCATAATTAACGCTTTCCATGTCATGTTACCTTTTACACCGGTTGATGATGGCCGGGCCAATAATATTATTACCGGAGATGCCGGGGCGGCGGCAAATTCGGATTGGAGAACGGGGGGTGGCAGAAGAGAGCCACACTCGGAATCAATACTGCCGGCCAAGATTTCAACTACCGTGATTTCCGGGGGGGCCCAGCTGGACTTTCAGCTCGGCCTATACCACGCCTTTACCCTATCGTGCTGGACTGCGTGGTAGCTATAAGGGGAAGAAGATCGAAGTCGAAACGCACGGTCGGTCATAGGATTATATATGCTAGATAGAATCATAGCGATGACGGAGAGATCTTGATCTGAAAGGAGTTGCTGACATGGATGCAAGTAAGATTGCCACGTTTTCCCGCGTGACGATTCTTAGAAATGCTGGAGAGTTTGTTCCTTTGCATCCCTTCCCGTCTCCCTTGATTCCCGGCTCTGTGCTCTGTGGTGTGGTGGAGCTAAGAGATACCCCATTAGGAAATGTGTGGGCCGAGGATCATGGATGTTTTTTTTGGCCGTGCCGTCTCGAGTAGAACAACTTGTTTGACAAATAAGCATTAATAAACAGCCGGTTTTAAGAGGTAGCCGCATTATGGACATCTCGAGGTTTAAAAATAACTCCCGATGGGCGAAACAGGCGCGCAAGTGAACAGGGTAGGTAGCAGGGAGGGCATCGGTCGTACGTTCTTTTAAATCCAGCCGAGGAAAATCCGTCGGCTACAAGACGTAGGAAAAATGTATTATGACCGCAGTAGGCCGCGGCCATCGGTGTTGATGTCCGAATGGGGAAGGAAATGCCAAGATTTAATGCCTTGCCATTACCACGTAGGGATGGCGCAGGCTGGGTTGCAGGTGTATGCGCATACATATCTGCAGGTATGCAGATGCGGTTACGGTTAAGGATGAGATGGGGGATGGTGGATGTGAGATGGGGGATGGTAAGGCGCGCTACGGAGTTTCGAACAACTGGGAACAGCCTTCTAATGGTTCCTCCCTCGCGGATATACGGATGGCCAGTTTCCGACAGCGAAACTCCAGATGTCCCCAGACAGACTGACAGACTACCCTTCCCATCCACAATAACCACAATAACCACAGCACAAGACCCCCAAAGAACCCAAGAACCCAAGAACCCAAGAACCCAAGAACCCAAGACCCAAGACCCAAGACCCAAGACCTTGAATCCTAGTCCCCCCCAACTATTCACGTCCTCATCCCAAAGCCCAAGACCGAGGCACAAGGGTTTCAAGCACCCATGAACACCCCATGAGAAGAACACCCCAAATGCGCTCTTCTTTGTGTAAGGTTAGGTTGTTTGCCCGCCAGGCTAGTACTTTTCGTACTACCGGACCTCTTCTCAATCAGGTATATTCTTAAGTCCTCTTTTCTTTTTTTTTCTCAGGTAGCGGGTAGCGAGAATCAACAAAGCGCCGAGGGGAAGTGTTCCCTGCGTCTTGACGTCCAAGGCTTGAGCTGAAATTCCCGACCGCATTCCAATCCCATCTATACTGTTAGTCCTTGTTCCGGCGCCATGGACGCCCGGCCCGGTAGCTACCAGACAAGCGTCTTTCGCGCACAGCCGACCGACGGTCTTCAACGCAAGATCCAAAAGCGCAATCGTCCGCCCGTGTCCTGTCTCCTATGTCGTACCCGCAAGTGAGTAGTCCTTTTAAATCCCGGAATTTATTCCCGCTTATCATCCCCAGGGTGAAATGCGACCGCCAGCAGCCGTGCGAAAGATGCGTCAAGA